ATGGGTTGACCTAATTCAACCAAAGGCCTCTTTTACTCACTGCTACGTTATAAAAATGCACCAGCAAGAGGAAAATTCGTCTTTTTATGTCTGTCATCTGCCCTATGAAGTTTCAGTCAACTCTTGACTTCCGCGACTCGCGAGTACCTTATACACGTCAGGCATAACGTGTTGGCTAAGGCAATTTGGGTGCATATCGAGAACAGCAATAGTATCGAACTATGCTAAGGACCGAGGTACAACGGAGGAGGCCCGCCGAAAGTAGTTCCAGCAGTAGCAGATCAAGTAGAAACTGCAACATCTTACCGGCCACGAATTCATTCGTGTAGCTTAAGGAATCACTTAAAATTACTGCACGAAGTATTAGGGAACTCTAAAGCAGCAGTAACAAGCATCAGTTATAGATGTAAGTTAGTAATCAATAACATAATTAATACCAAACCTTGTTAGAGTGATCCAAATAAATTATGTTCAGAAGAATAAATTATTTTTAATTCTTAAATCAAAGAATATAGTAACTAAATTTATCCGTCTCATTTAAATTAAGAATTTCATCTTACTCAAAGAAACAAATGAAGCTCACAAGCTGAATTTTAGGAGAACCACGAATGACACTAAAATAAAACGGTTAAGACCATACTCCAAACAAGTCTGCTTATAACATATCAACGAAATAGTCGTAAAATAATGTTTTTTTACCATTATGCTTTGATTATTTCTTCTTAATACGGGAAGTATTCAACATAAACTTGCTCCTTACATTATCAATTTGATTTTCAAAAATATTTCCGTATGAATAGGTCATGTAGAGTCTTGTCTTATTATACGAAAGTTTTTGTGGATTCATAAAAGCCTTGTTTCATATGATTAATTCCACTTTTTTAATTTTTTTTGTTTGTATTTTGATCTTTTTCAAATGGAGTTACTATTTGTTTTATCTAAAGCTAATGAAAAAGTTTTATTGTTGGTTACACTTTTTGGTAGTTAAAAAGATGATATTCTAGTCTAAACTGTGTATACGTTTTTTTCCTCGAAAATTATTTGATAACTTCGTATTTTGTATAAAAATATTTTGCTCGATCACTTAAGTCCGTCCATGATTTTAATTTTTTTATTCTGTTTGCATATAATAGTGAAACTTTTTTTTTTAATGTTCTATTCAACCAACAATACGTTAAAAATTTCCTCTAAAATGTCTTTTTTATAGTGTTCGTACGTTGCTATAAGGCATCTGTTTTGGCATTATAACGTTGAATGAAAGATAAAATTCATCGTCTGATTTCAGAAATTTCACTTCGTACCAAATAAAATTGCTTTTTATATTCATCTTATTATCTTTATTATATAGGCATATTTGTAAAACAGGTGACAACCCTTTCTTTATCCTGACACAATCGGTTTTCAAGGCCCTTCCATAAAATAAGAAAAAAAAGTTTGTTTTTCTTTATTTACATGAGTCTGTAGCTCCATCTAAATATTTATCAAAAAATTATAATATTTTTTTTCGTTCGTAGAGTGCGATGGTACTAAAAAAATTATTTTTGACGATTTGAATACTTGAATTATTCGACATCAAAATGTTACATTACAAGTATATAAACATGATCATTTATTCTCAGATATTAGGGTACAGAACTCTTGTATGACACGCATTATTTTTTCAAAGAAATTCTGTTACATTTTCTGACAATTTAATTATTGTACATATGTTTTAAATAAAAACTATTTGATATTCTGTCTGTAGTAATCTGGATATTACTATTATTCTTTTTTTGTTTTTTATTAAATCAGCGTCAGCGATTTCCTTTTTTTTCAACACAACTACCATTTATTAATTAAAATCACAGTTTAAATATCTTAAAAGTAATTAAAATTAACGCTATGTTGGATATTTCAATTATTAAAGATTGTAAAAATTACAAAAAATTTTCGTTTAAATCATTATTAGTCGATAGCAATTAGTTTATATGGGGTTAGTGCATAAAGTGCACAGAGAAGCAAACTCCTACTAGTATATACACACCATATTAGCGATATAGGTGTACTTGTGTTGGTCTGTAGGCTTCAGTTGTCCATTTAGATGAACTTCTCCCTGGCTTATCGGGAGCCTGTACCTACAGCACACGCACGTGCAGCCGTACTCTCTCTCTCCCACACACACACATACACAAAACTACCACCAAATATTCCGTCGACGTCACTTACACATGCACTATTACACTGCACATCTATCTCCTCTATACTCTTAACATTACTCTCAGGCTTCTAAAAATTGTACTGAACTCGGTAATGACTCAGCTGCATAGTCGGCCTCTAGAAATTCTATCCGTGACTTCTGTTGCCCTTCTTTATTGTATACTAGGCACTCTGTGTCCGCACCAATCTTTATACTCAAACGCTTTCTGCACTTTGACCTTACTAATTCACCACACTCTATTGTATTCTAAAACATACTTCCTCTCTAACCAATTCCTGCTTCACCCTTAATGAGGAATCTATGTTGTAAAGCTTAATCCAGGGGGTGCCACGACCCTCCAGTCCTGATTCAAGGAGGTGTTAGTATGTCCGTGTGTTTTCGTATGTGTATGTCATGTGTGATAGTTTATTCATTTCGTCTGTCGTATGTCAGTGTTATGAGTTTGTGGTTATACCTATACACATAATAATCACAAAAAATATCCGTACTTTTAATTATTTCAGTAGAATTTGATATTTGTTTTTACAATGAGATGCAGTGTGCAGAAGTGTGAAAATATCGTGAGATTAACATTTCCAAAAAAACAAAGACCTTAAAGAAAAGTGGCTAGCAACTATGAGAAATCTTACATTTAAACTAATTACAAAGATTGGTCTTTGCTCCAATAATTTTGAGTCTGACTGCATTATAACAGAGAGAAAAAATGGTATATGAGTAATGTTTTATCTTTCAATGCTCATTTAATTTATGAAGTTGTTGAATTATTACTTATTACGTAATTACATTTGGTACAATTAAATGTTTAGGTAACAAACTCTAGTTCACTTGCTTGCGAAAAAGATAAAATAATTTACAATGGTAAGAATAACCAACTCTTGACAACAGATACTACTTTACTACAGCGAACGACAATAAAAATTTTGGTGACGGAAATGAACAGTATGTTCATAAAACTTATGTACATAATTTATTATGAAATAAACTTATTTCATAACAAAATGATAATGTTTACATTATTTATTGAAGTTTTTAAAAAATTCTACTAGTTACTAGCATTTGACCATAAACTTGGTAATAGCATAGGTAATTTTTCTTTAATTGTAGATTATCATCGTTTTTTTTTCAAAAGTAATGCACTGTGATTTCATTAATAAAAGCTTTTCTGCTCGAATATGGACATCTTACTTCAGTCACAGTCAGAGAGCAAAGTAGTATATTTGAACTTTTAGCCAGATATGGATAAGATTCAGAGATAAACATGCTATATTCTTGTATGCCTAGATTATTTCTAGGATACTGATTGAAAATTTTGATGGAACAGTTTTCATATACTTGTCCATGCGAAACTGCTGTACAGTGGAAGCGTTCAATTTCCTAATTGACTGAGCCAGAAATGGCCCACCCTCTGCTAGCAGTTTCGTGACAGCTTCCTTAGTCGTGCCAGTATTTATTTTTAGATCATCCACGAGTTAATGTCTTAACTTCAATTACTTCTCTTTGTCAGATCCAATAAAAAAAATGATTGTAATATGGACGATAGTAATATTGAAAGATATTGCGTTGAAAATGGAGTAAGGATAATTTCATGTCATACTATATATATATATGAGCAGGTTCAATGATCGTTTTGATAGACATGTTATTAGTAAATCCCCTAGCTACTATTACATTTTTAAAATAGTTTTTGTACCATTTGTAATACTCTGGATTATTAAGATTATATTCTGAACCTAACTTATTCTTATACCTATTCCTATACCTGAACAGGTAAATGACACAACTTTTTTTTTTGCTGATAAGGCGTTTTTAGTTGATTAGTGCAGAGTGCTTCTATTATCAAAGATTTATATGAGTAAAGATTACTCACAGCTACTAATACAGTAATACAACAACTACGTGTTTGCAGTGAGCTTGTTTTGATTGACCTGCAGTGCACTTATTGTTACTTTCACACATCCATCCAGACTTGTAAATCAAATTTTCTTCATAATGAGCATGTTTCTTCAACTCTGCGCTGCACTTCCATTGGACGAAGTATCTGTCAACTGCACACGTTTATATAAAACTCAAGTCACAGAGTAATAATAGGAAAATGTTTTTTAATTATGAAAGTTGTTCTTACCCATATTACAATATCTAATATTTGTTAAATGTCTTGTTAAATACAAGCTTCTAGCTTTGCCTAACTGTTTTTAATAACTATAAGTTGTATACAATCAGAGAAATAGAATAAAATTTTTTTTTATTATTTATAAATTTGAACCTCAGCTAAGAAACATTCAAATTTTTTGAGGTAAAATAAGGTACTGGGCTTGAACCATCAACATCTTTATACTTAACTGATGGTGGAGTATTGTTAAACTTTTTTTCTTGAATAATTGTACACGCAAAATTATTATTTTATCATAGTACAATAGTCTAATGATCACATAAAGTTCATTGTAGTGGCAAATTTAATACAGTGAATCTTACCAGTTGTTATTATTTTTGACCTAACAACTAGCTGTTTTTTCCTCTCACTTAAGTAAGAATTTCTTAGCTTCAATGAAGATTTCACGCTTTTGATGCTCAAGTTACTCTAGAAATTTGCTGTAGGTTGTAGTGCTGTGGACATTTTCCAACACTCTTACATGACACGTATATGTGTGTATCTACGTTAAAATATTATAATTATTAAAAAAAAAAAAAAAACTATTCATGTTTCAAAATTTTCATGCAATAATCTGTGTTTTGTGTACATGTAATGTATATTGCATAATTAAATTCTAGTTATAAGTAATGTTTACTAAATTCTGATTTACAGAGAATTTTACAGTATATCAGATAAGTTACATCCTCAGTGTCTCTTAGTACGATGTCGTGAAGGAAAAAGAAAAAATATTTATTTAACATCGCCACAAATACGTGATATTATAATTAACAATGAAGATCATATTAAAATGATAAATACTGGTGTGAAGACTTTTGTCAGATGTGATAACAAAAACATGCAGTGTGCTTTCAGATTAGCTCAGGAGGGTTTGAAGAGCATAATTCATTATGTTGGGGAACATCGAAAAATCCAAGTTTCAAGAGATGATATAATTATGCTTTTACAAAATATCAATAATAATTATCCACCTGAAATCACTAAGCTTGCAGTAGAAACTCAAGAGAAATTAAAAAGTTTAGGTAGCCAAATCAACATACATTATAAAAAATCATAGTTTAATAATAAAATACTGAATTATTGTGAATTATCAACTATGTGGAAATAACACAATTAATCTTACTGTTAAGCGTTGAGCTAACACATTTTTCTGAAGTAATGTGTCAAAACTGTTTTAGTGCCAGGAAGTTGTATTCTTATATATGAAGAAAATAATGTTGAGAAGATACATCATTTGAAATTCGAAATAGTTGGATGGCGTGGAACTATTTCGTTAAGAGTATATATTCCAGTTTGTGATACAATTCATTACCTACGCCTTTTAGAAGAAGACTTTTCAATGTTTGGTGAGTATTAACCCGTTAATTATCTTTGATTATACTTAAGCAATATTAATGTTCTAATTTCCTATATAAAAAAGTCCCATAATTTCAAATTCTTTTTTGATAAGTTTAAATTTGTTTTGAACACTCCGCGTGCTAATTCCAACTTTGAATTATTCATATCTCTCACAATTATTTAATTCAAGCAAAATGATTAGATTTTAGTGTAATAATCCGACTTAACACATGATTTTAATTTTTGTTTAACATGCAAAATGCAATGCTCTTTTTTTCAAAATCAAACTTTTTAACTCACCCGTTTAGAATCAGCTTAAACCAATCACTTCAGGAATAAAAGGCTTTATTCACCTGACATTTAAAAAAAAAAAAAAAATCATATTTTTAATTCACCCGCTCATCATCATTAACATGTTACTTGAAGGAAAAAAAAAAAATTTGGTGGCTTGGTATTAAGTATGCCAGCCTTTGAGCTGAGAAAGCTTGTGAGTTCGTGAGATTAAATTTGGTTAGCAAGCATAGAGATTTTTTTTCTCGAGCATTTTTGACAGCATAAGTATCAAGAATTCTTTGAAGATAAATGTTAAATTTTTGTGGATTATGTCTAAACCTTTACAGTCGTCCTTTCCTCGGGAAGTGAACTGTTGGCCAGCTCGTTGATAAAGTCACTGTTAATAATTCAATAGTTAGTACGGTAAGTTACATCTTCAATAAAATACGTCCTTGGGCCTGACACTACCTGACTTGTGTTTTAAAAGACCGCTATGCGTTGCGAATAGGACTCATTGGAATGAATGACCAAGCCATCAGAGGAGAACTTCGTGTTAGGGGCCTGCATGAGATCTGTATTGTTAGGGAAGGAGAAGGAAAATTGAAGAGGAAAAAAGCATAAGGTGGTAGAAGTAGAGATTAGGATACATACAAATCCTGCAATGGTTATTCATAGACTCTAATAAAATACAAATACTAACACCTGAAAACAGTTTTAGTTAAATAAATGACTACGATATTAAGATATAACATGCACAGTTCTTAACTATCTGTTTAGTATCCATTAGTCTTTGTTCAAAATTATTATTGTTTGTGCGAGTGTTGCGGTATTGTCACTTTATTATGAATACAGCATTAGTTTGCGTGCATTGACTGCTATAAACACACAATCACGGCCAGTCAATCGGCTTTGAGCTGTTAATGAGTATAGTCTCTTGCGCGTATAGCACCAGCAATGTGCGACTGCCTAGTATAATATGGTTTTACATCCATATTTTCTCTTCATAATATAATACTAATTTGTTGGTTAATGTAGAGAAATAGGGGTAAAGGGTACAGTTGTTGACCCCCCGATAGTGATTGACCGCCACATGCATTTTTAAATGGAGTCTTTACATATAGATATAAAAATTATACAGGGGTCAATCACTACCTTAAGGTGTCAATAACTGTACCCTTTACCCCTATCTCTAAACTCTGTATTATTTTCTGATACGTTTTTATTAAAGTTTCATACTGTCAAAAAAATGAGAGTTATATTTCATTGATGTTGTGTTGCGTGCAGGAAAATTTTGCTAACTCCATTTACTTCTTAGCCCTCAAGAGTTAAACTCTGCTGTCCCATTGTCTTGACCATCTGGCCACCCACTGGATCATACAGTCCACCTAGTGATCAAACACTATCAGTTCAATAACTTTGTTTGAAATGTTTCGTTTTTAATTTAAGTATCCTGTAATATGAAAATCTTATGATAACTTTTATCTATGCAGAGTATAAAAAGCTTCAAAACAATATTTAGAAGCTGGTTCTGTGTTATTTTATCGGTTTATTCTATTAACTAATTTGTAATTTTTTAAAAACAATCCAATTCACCATACCTATGCTAAAATACTGTACTTTCCTATAATTCTTTACAATCAGTTTATACAAACACCTTCAAACAGACTCACTTCTGATTTACCTAAAACTTTTTTTGAGGGGGTTGTGTACATAAATTAATAATTTTCAAGTATTTTCCGTTTTTTTTTCAATTTTTCAAAAAGTGTAAATGATCAAAACTGAAATGAATTATTGATTTTTGGCTGAAATATATTTTTTTTAAACTTCAAAAGTCTGATTCTGTTCAGCTAGAGACGTTTTTTTGTTTAGAAAGTTTATAAGAAGTTATATAAGAGCTGAAACCAAAAATTTTAAAAGAAAAATTGCAACGATTTTAAATTGTTTGAGTGATGACGACAATCACGACGGTATTAATGCTGGTGATAAAAGTTCTAAATATAAGTTTTTTGAGAGAAAGGGATAGTAGGTGATACAAATCCTCAAAGTTCTTCATCATTTAAAACAGGTGATAAGGAGACTATCATTCGGTGCACAAGTTAGATAACGATATTTTAACAACGCTTCCACTTAAATATACCGTCTCCGATGAAGTATATGGAAAAGGCTTTAAATGCAGAAGTTACTACTTCTGTGTTATAAAATAGTTACGAGAAACATTTGAAGCTATGTTTTTAATGATGTAATATATTTCTTATAATTATTTTTTTTCTTACAACCCATGCAGTATGTATTTGCAGAAACTACTAATACTCACTCATTTATTGTCTGCTAAACATATGGAAATTATTAATAGACAATTGTACGAGCTAGTTATGAATTAAGTACAGTAGATTTCCCGTTTTTGATATTTGGAATCAGTCCAGAATTTACTGTTCAAGTATGAAGTTAAAACTCTTTCGAAGATCTGTAACGTTTCTTTTAAGGACCAAAGTACTTCAAATTATCTAATTAAGTATACCGCGAAGGGATATTAATTTTCAAATTGTTAAGTCCGGAAGGGGATGTTTTATGGTGATAACAAAGAACTTGTACACGTTGTACAAATATGTTCAAAACAATATTTAGTATAGTTTAACATTAAGTGAAGCCTTGGACACATTGCATCAATCTTGTAGCATATTGATAAATAGTGCCATAACAAGCAAGTACTTATGATATTTATCTCATAGATTCATAAAACTTGCAAATATTTATAAAACATTAACATCTTTGACGATATATTTAGTTGGAATGGTTACAAAAAAAATTCTTTACTTAAAATAGGCTTTGAGAACTATATAAAATAGAGCTTCAGTTACTTATTTTAACATAAAATTAAAGTCTCTTTCTAAAACTCTGTTGAATGATAAGAGTTTGACAGTGTGACATAGACAATCAAGCCCTTGAATCGGAGTCATCCTGATATCTCACGTACAAAAAAAAACGAAACCTACTTTACTGTCTCTTGTCTCTCTTACCTGGATTTCTCTCTTCTTAGAAATTCTGCCCTGGGCCACTCGTTTAGAAAGGTGACCTACTCGTAAAAGAAAATTTTAAAAAATAAGTTAAAAATTGATTTTCTTTTGTGCTAACAAAATGGATTACGAATGTATATATAATCTGTAGCTAATTAATGTTATAAAGCTATTTGACTCTCCTGAGATTTCGATGCATAGTGTACTGACAATTCTAATCTGTCGCTCAGTCCATGATTTTGTACCCTGTCAGGTTTTGGGTGGACCGTTTCGTAGTTTTTGCCATAACGATTTTATGCGTGATCTGATAGGTATCAATTGTAGTCTGTTGATCCGTCGTGCTCATGTTGATTCTTAAGTTGAGTTTTTCACTTTGTCAATATAGGGATTATTCTGTGATATAACGTTGTTTTAATAAGTTGAGTTTTTCACTTTGTCAATATAGGGATTATTCTGTGATATAACGTTGTTTTAATAGTTACCTGTGGTATAGAATGAAGTATTTATTACTTTAAACATTGTTTGTATAGTAATTATAATAATTATAACATTAATAATAGTAAAAAGTATAATAATAATAATAGTAATCATGTTACTTGAAGGAAAAAAA